TTTGGGTATTAAGAACCTTTAGTGTGAGCTTTTGTGTTAATTTGGCTAGGAGTTGGACTATGTTTGATATTTGCTCTGTGTCAGAGTCTTCGATTTCCATTAGTACACTTGTTTGTGTCTCTTTTTGTCTTTGGTTTCCCTAAAAACTCATTGTAATTTGGGTAGCTTGCAGCCCTTTTAGCCATAATGCACTGTTATACTGGACACCAGATGATGTGGTGGTCCAATAGGAGGCAGTGGAAGTATTTTATTATTCTGTGTTTATCTTTCAGTGAGCTCTATCCCTGGAATATGACCTTCACAGGTGTTTTGTTTTCCCATTAGGTGAGACAGGAAGGCTAGAAGGGCCTGGGGTTGGGTCATTTCCCTTTCTCTCCATCAGCTAAGGCTCTGATAAATTCTTTTCCTTTGCCGTGTAGGTCTTTGTGGTGGCAAACACTTATTCAAAATGATTAACTTTCCTCTGCAAGCCTGTTGGAAGCACAAAAATTTTCCTTGGCTTTTAACCATGAGAAGACCTGTTAGGGTTCCAGGAGGTAAAATCTACAAAAATACGAGGGGTCCCTAAGACTGTGGCCCCTGGAGGTCTCGCTCTCACACTGGCCAAAACTCTGCTCCCAGGATTTCTTCTAAGTTATCCATTGAGCATTTCCTCCAGCCTATGGCTCTGGCAGCTTCTGTTCTCAATAAGCAGATCTTGGTTATGATTCCCTACATGCATCTGTTTTTCCAGATTTAGGGGTGATGACTTTTCCTGGGAAACAATGGAAACAGGGACAGATTTTATTTTGGGGGGGTCCAAGATCACTGCAGATGGTGACTGCATCCATGAAATTAAAAGATGCTTGCTCCTTGGAAGAAAAGTTATGACAAACCTAGACAGCATATTAAAAAGAAGAGATATTACTTTGCCAAAAAATGTGTGTATAATCATAGTCAAAGCTATGATTTTTTCAGTAGTCATGTATAGATGTGAGTTGGACATAAGACTGAGCACCGAAGAATTGATGCTTTTGAACTGTGGTGTTGGAGAAGACTCTTGAGAGTCCCCTGAACTGCAAGGAGATCCAACCAGTCCATCCTAAAGGAGATCAACCCTGAATATCCATTGGAAGGATTGATGCTGAAGCTGAAGCTCCAATACTTTGGCCACCTGATGTGAAGAACTGACTCATTGGAAAAGACCCTGATGCTGGGAAAGATTGAAGGCAGGAGGAGAAGGGGACGACAGAAGAAGAGGTAGTTGGATTGCATCACCGACTCAATGGACATGAGTTTGAGCAAGTTCCGAGAGATAGTGGACAGGGAAGCCTGGCATGATGCAGTTCATGGGGTCGCAAAGAGTGGGACACAACTGAGCGACTGGATAACAACAATTTTTCCTATGACCTCAGTTCTCTGATAGGTCCAGGAAAAGTCACTGATACTCAGCTTGTTCAGCTTTTTCCCTTGTAGCGAGTGATAACTTTCAAGCTTTTTACGTATCAGAGCTGAAACCAGAAGGCCTTCCTAGTTTTAAAAATGCCATCTTTTTAAAGATCAGAAAACTGAGGCTCACTGTGCTAAGCTGAGCAGCTAGAGTTGTCTAACTCCTAAGCCAGGCTCTTCTCTTCACAGCCTGCCCCTCATTCCTGTAACACATCTCATAGAACCAGCCCAGGGAACACTCCCAGACAAAGCAGATGGCAGAGCAGGAGGGTGTGGTAAGGCAGGATAAACAAATGTGATATTTGAAAAAACAATACATTCAAGTCTCCTAATGGAGAATGTAGATTAATGGTGGTGGTGGGGGCGTGGTATTCACTTTAGCTTTACAAAAGCAATCAGAAGAGCATTCTTTTATTAGTAAACTGCTTTTACAGTGTATGGTTAAATTTACACAAATGTTGTTTACAAATCACATCCCTTGAATGCATTCAGAGCCAACTTTTGGGACTGAACATTCAGGGTGTGTCTAGAAATTCTCACAGGGAAATGCTCTGAGTCCCAGGTCAGGAAGGTGGGCTCTCATCTGCATGCCTGTGTGCTAAGTCACTTCAGTTGTGTCTGACTCTTGGCAAATGCCAGGCTTCTCTGTCCATGGGATTTTCGGAACAAGAATGCTGGAGTGGGTTGCTGTGCCCTCCTCCAGGGGATCTTCTTGACCCAGGGATCCAATTTGAGTCTCTTATGTCTCCTGCATTGGCATAAGTGTTCTTTGCCACTATCGCCACCTGGGAAGCCCCTCTTATTTGCGGTGCTTACATTTTGCAGATAAGGAAAGCGTGATTCAGAGATACTGAAGGAATATCAATATCCTTGATATAAGGGAAAATAACTAATGAGGTTGGATTTTGGTTTCCTCTCTGCAACTAATTAGTTATGTGACCTTGACCAAGTTATTTAATTTCTCTGAACTATATTTCACAAAGGGAGTAAAAAATTATTACCTCCCAGGGTAAGTTAGATAATGTACAAGAAGCACTTAATCACAACTGTAGTAATATGTAATAGTTACATATAAATTTATATATGGTATTTCATATATATTTTATAGTAATAATTATTATGCAGTAACTATTATAGTATATTATTATATTACACTATATTACAGTAATAATAGTTAATATGTTATATATAATGATATATTATTAATGTATTGGTGAAGGTTACAGCATCAGTTCGCGAAGTTTCATCAAAAACTTCACTATACTTATAAAACTTTCCTTGTAAAAAGAGCCAGGAGCTTCCTGAACCTTATGAACATGTTAAAAGCTCTAGTTCTGGTGGGTCCTACATAATCTTAAATGCCAAGAGAAACAAGTTAAAAGTGCTGTGCTGTGCTGTGCTTAGTCGTTCAGCGATGTCTGACTCTTCACGACCCCATGGACTGCATTCCGCCAGGCTCCTCTGTCCATGGGATTTTCCAGGCAAGAACACTGGAGTGGGTTGCCATGCCCCGCTCGAGGGAATCTTCCCAATCCAGGGATCGAGCCCAGGTCTCCCACATTGCAGGCAGATTCTTTACCATTTGAGCCACCAGGAAAGCCCAAGTTAAAAGTTAGCTTATATATTAAAAAAAAGTTGGGTTATTTTTGGATGATAAGGCTGTTTAGGTCAGGTTTTATGGAAACATGTCCATCAAATTTCATACCAAAGATGTTAACCTGAATAGGGCATTAGATCCAGGTTTTTGGATACAGTTCATGCAAACCACAGTAAAAGAGCTGGAAACCAGTGCTGGAGTCAGCTACAGGCGCTCTGGGAACCACTTCCAGCCCCAGTATTTGCAGATGTCACCCAGAGCTCCTGAGACGGCTGAGGTCTGATGACGGCTCTGGCAGTGAAACTCCAAGAAGGTACACACAGCAAGGGGTAATGCCAAAGCAGGGGCATGGGAATGGTCAGCCTCACACGCCGGATCTTACCTTGAGCCAAAGACTGTCATCAGAGACACACAGGGTCTCTCCACCTGTTCCTTTGGGGCCATGCAATAACACTAGATGGACTATGATGGGCAAAGAAGTAGAGGCCAGCTATATCTTTGTGCTAACACAGAACAGTTCCTTTGAGACCACCACAAGACCCATATCTGTGCTTGACCACTAAAGGCATCCTTAGGCTTCTGTGTCATCTGTGGAAACTGAACTCAGACAAACTCGGAGCTAATTATCAGTTATCAAGGAAGAATGGAACAGGGCTACAAACCCTTTCCTGAAGAATCCAGGTTTCTTTTTAAGGACTCTAGGAATTCTATGCTAGGTATTTCCATTTTGAAGATAAGGAAACCATATATTTAAGGGGCTTTTTCTTTGCTATGAGAGAGAATAACTAATGAGGTTTGACCCTACTCTCCTTCATTGAAGAAAATTGGTCCAAGTGGAATACAGAGGGTGTTCATTTTCATTTACAAGACAGTGGTGACAGGGCAGCATAAGGATGCATCTGCTTAAAAAACAAACAAAAGTCTCCCAAGATTCCCCTTTCTAAATAGAATGCTCAAAATTAACTTAGATTTACATATTAGAGGAAACTTAGAAGAATCCTTTTTCAGTCCCATGCTATGTAGGAAATAATTTTTATGATGGGTGAGAAGAAAATAAAATACTCGTCTAAGCCAGCACTTCATCTGTCACAGGCAAGTTTTCTCACACAACGAGCAGCCCGGGACCCAAAGCCGCGGAGAGCGTGAGCTGCGGGGCGTTCTCCTCTGCAGCGTCTCCCCACTCAGCCCATCTCAGGTCTGCATCGGTTCAGAGCGCCATCCCTGCACCAGTAACTCTGCACCACTCGGGAACTCGTTCAACGTGCAAACTATTTGGCCTACGTGGGGGTGGAAGCTGGGAGTCTCATTTAACGGGTCCCCCGATGACGCTGCTGCGCCCGGAGCTGTGAGCAGCACTGCCCTCAGCATGGCAGCGGCTGGCTCAGGCCCCACAAGCCCAGGCCAGGACCGAGGCTGAGGTGGGAGGTTCCCGAGGACATGCTGGGTGAGAGGGGTCTGTGATACAGGATCCTGCTCCCTGTGGAAAAGGTCAGCTCAGAGTCTGCTCTACCACGCCCCGCTGGGGACAGAAACCATCCGCGCCAAGACCGTTGAATGCTGATGAAGCCAAGTTAGACAGCCTCAGCCTTTTGTTTCTGCCATTCCTAATCCTCCTGTCCTGGGCCATTGGCAGAAATAGTTCATGCCCAAAAGGAAAGGCGGTTTACTTAAGCCTGGGTTTCCCGGCCTTGGCACCATTGGTGTTTCTGTCATGAGGAGCCGTCCTGTGCGTGTGGAGCGGCATCCCTGGCTTCTGCCACTCCGTGCCAGTAGCTGCTCCCCTCCCCACTTCCCTCCTGCTGAGGCGTGACAATCACAAACGTTTCCAGATGTAGCTCAGAGTCTCCCGGGGGCAAAACTGCACGGGGCTGAGAGCCACTGACTTAAACCAAACCATTTCCTTCAAAGTGCTAACAAAGGAGGGATGTGTTGGGAAGCGGAGCAAGCTCGCAGCGGCCCGGGGGGGGTGACTCACGTTGTAGGAGCGGCCGTGCCTCTGTCTCCACCGCACCAGCACTACCTGGGCAACGACCAGGGCGCAGAGGAAGACCAAGATCATCTCCACGTGCATGGACTCGTGTCCCTGGTGCAGCCTGTGCATCCTCTCCTGCTGCAGGCTGCAACCGGCAAAGGAGGTCAGCTGAACAAGCCCTCAACTCGGACGGTTAGCGAAACAAGAAAAACAGGCAGGACTCATGAGAAGCAATTGGGAATTTCAAATGTAGGGTTTTCCAAGCTTTGATTACAAAGTCTTCCTAAGTTCTCAGTTCCCCCCTTCCCCCTGGGCTTGGGGGAAGGACAGCGGAGAAGAGGAGCCTGAGTCTGTCAGTGAAACCAGCTCCTCTCTGTCCTTAGCTTGCCCACATGCTTTTGGCCTCAGCCTTGTCCTTTCAAGGTGATCAATGGGGACAAAAGCTCATTGGTGGGCTCTGAAGACCTGGGTCCCAACCTCCCATCTGCCACGTCATCCCCTTGGGAAAGTCAGTTATTCTCTCTGCACCTCAGTTTCCTCATTTTCACTTCTAAAATAATGATCTCTCTGTACCTTACAGATAGGTGCTCTATAACTGTAGAACACATACATATGATATTTTATTTGTGTCTGTATGAACAATAGTCTTCCCTGGCGGCTCAGATGGTAAAGAATCTGCCTGCAATGTGGAAGACCCAGGTTCGATACCTGGGTTGGGAAGATCCTCTGGAGAAAGAAATGGTAACCCACTCCAGTATTCTTGTCTGGAAAATCCCATGGACAGAGGAGTCTGGTGGGCTACAGTCCATGGGGTCACAAAGAGTCAGACATGACTGAGCAACTAACACTTTCACTTTCATGTGAAGAATACTAATAATACTACTATTAGGTTGTATCATAGGAAATTGCCATTTTTGAAAGTAAAAAAAAACCTCCAATCAAATACTGGCAATTCCAAGTAATTTCTAATATTCTTAAGTAAAAGGATATCTGGCAGATGGTGCCTATGGAGAGAATATTACGTGTGGGGCTAGGAAAACCTCTGAGTTGTAGAAATTATTTTCATTATAAGCAGAAAGAAGAGGCCTAAGTATTACCTTAGGCGCAAACATTCAGAGGATGGCTAAACGCTTTCGTGTTTGGTTGGACTCTTCATTTTATACAGTGGTAGACAAGCCGCTGAAGTAGTGTGTCACCTGGTCTAGCCTCCTACAGAAGAAGTGGCCTCCAAGGGAATCTAGAGCAGAGTTGCTTGACCTGAACTGCGGCCTGGAAATGACCGAGAAGCTGTTAAAAATCAGTGTCCAGGCTGGACCCCAGATAAATGAAGTGACCATTGCTCGGTGTTCTAGGCTGAACTGGATTCCCTCAAAATTCATAATTCATGAGCTGAAGTGCTAACCCCTGGACCACAGAATGTGACTGTGTTTGGAGAAAGGGTCTTTAAAGAGGTAATTAAGGTAAATGGGGTCATTAGGACGGGTCCTAACCAACATGACTGGTGTCCTCATGAGAAGAGGAGGTGAGGACATAGACTCCCCCAGGGAAGATCATCTGGATACACAGGCGGAAGCCAAGGAGACAGGCTTCAGAAAAAACGAAGCCTGCGGCCCCTGGGTCTTGGACTTGCAGCCTCTAGATCTGTGAGAAAATAGATTTTTGTTGTTTTAGCACCGAGTCTGGGTGATCTGCTACGGTAGCCTGAGCAAACGCATAGAGATTTCCAGGATGCGAGAGAGGCATCAGTAATTTTTACAGTTCCTCCTATGATTCTAAAGTGCAGACTAAATTGGGATCTACTGGCCCAGAGGAAGAGAGAATGGTTCAGGAATTAGGTAAAAGTGGGATAGTATTTAATATGAACCTTGACAATTACTTTATAAATATTGGTTAGCATTATCTTCTACCCCAAGTGAGGCACTATCAGTCACAAAATCTCTTAGTTTGCATTTAGTTAGGGCACTGATCAGAAAGCACTCTAGGGTAACATCCTGTGACCTTTTAAAGCCACTTATTGGGTTTGGGTCTCTCTCTCCCAACATTTCTACACAGCTTCCTCAGCAAGGGCTCCATCCAAATCCCAGGGGTGCCCCCTGCTGGAAAATGCGCAGAAATGAGCCCACAGAGCCTCCTAAATATTTCTTCTTGCTGCTGTGCTGCTAAGTCGCTTCAGTCGTGTCCGACTCTGTGTGACCACATAGACGGCAGCCCACCAGGCTCCTCCGTCCCTGGGATTCTCCAGGCAAGAACACTGGAGTGGGTTGCCATTTTCTTCTCCAATGCATGCATGCATGCTAAATCGCTTCACTGGTGTCCGACTCTGTGCGACCCTGTGAACTGCAGCCCACCAGGCTCCCCTGTCCCTGGGATTCTCCAGGCAAGAGTACTGGAGTGGGGTGCATTTCCTTCTCCATTGACTTACTAACTTATGCTGTTAAAGCAATGCACTGGTTGAACCTCGTGTGCCCCCAGCATTTCCATGAATAATTAATAATTTCTCAACTATTCTCAAACTTCTCAAAAATCTATCTTCTTAGATAGAATCTGAGACTGTCACTGCTGGGAGGTACCATAAATGTGCTAAGACCCCTTCATTGATCAAATGGAGAAGCTGAAGCCTACATCAGGTAAACAACCGGAATAAAATTATGTGGCTATTGGTCTCTGTACTGGAAGCTGAGCTTAGGAGTCGAGAATGATTTCTAGAAGCTCTTTAAAAAATACATTCATTCTTCTGAAGAAATGGGAAGTGAAAAAAATAAAAGGGTACAAGCACTTAGTTATAGTTTTTACATTCCAGGTCCAAAATAACTATTTAACACTCTGTGTAATACATAGATAGAAGAGTGGGTTTGTCATCAGTTTAAAATAGGACTTGCATGATATCAAACAAAATATACTTTATAACATTAATGATTTTGTGAATATAGGGTGAAAATGCATCTCAGATGGTTAACCTATGTGGTAGTACTTTGGAAAGTATAAACCAGTGTAGAATGTAACAGATATCTTCTATTTTGATTAGGAATACATTCATAATTGGTGACCATAATGCAAAAAAAGGAGGAACAGTTTTATTTTATTTCATTTGGTGCCCATAGGGGTCCAATGGCCCCAGAGTAGGTACCATAACACAGAAGAAATAGCCTAAAAGGAAAGCCAGATGTATCTTGTGCCTGAAAGGACAAGGACATATAAGAACATATAATGAGGGACATATACATTTGTGGAACAGCATGGAGCCCATTGTAGAAGGCAGATGAAACCCCTGCAGTTTGGTCTCTACAATCATTGTGCATACATGGCTTTACTAACCCACCTTCTATGCTGGGGAATTTATAAGTAAAATGATGGCTGCATTTAATTTCTCAAACTATTAAGATGGAAATCTAATTTTTAGTATACCAGCTATTAAAAAAATACAAGTCACTTACTTCCACTCATCATCCGCAGAAAGCTTTGTGTGAGAGATCTGAAAAACATAAGAAGATCCCTTCTCAAAATTTTCTTGTTTCCTTAGCTTCCATTTTACAGCATTATATGAGAAACTCAAACCATGAAAAATACTGATGTTTCCTAGTACCATAATAACTTAGAATGAAAGCTCTAACAAAATATTTAATTACAGAACTAAACACACACACACATACACCCAAACAAAACAGTAATCAGGTCACTATTAATAAACACTTGATTCTGCTCTCTAAGGTCAGGAAACCAAATGAGGCTCCATTCCGGTGGTTTTGTTTGGCAATTCAGTCAAAGTTGTAGGAAGTGGCCTCCCAACAGGCAGTGTCATCCTGGCTTCTGGTGTAATCTATGAATTGGAGAACTTGTGAAAAACATTTGTTTTGCTGGTGTCTTAAACGATGTCAGTGAGAACTTGGAGATGACATTCTCCAAGTTCAAGGATTTAGAGTCAGAGCTGACCAGCTTCTCGTTTGGAGCATTGTTGTGTCCTCCTGTTCGTTTAACTTAAACCCTGATCACAGGGAAGGGGGTAATCTGGCCCAGCCGGTGGGCTGGGTGGGAGAGCTTAGAGACCGTTCCCAGGAAAGTGCCTGAGACTGACCTACAGAGTGATCCACTACATTGGGTCATTTGAAGCTTCTAAGGCTAATCTTTGGAAAGACATTGTATAACTTTCATGGAGAACACAGACAGCTTAACCTCTAGTCCAGTAGCATCAAAAGCTAAAATCCCCAATGATGACAAAGAAGAAAAGGCCAATAAAGCCTTTATTACACAAATCAGACATTAAACATTTTTCCCCCTTTGTTTTCTTGAAATCAGTTCAGTCTCTCAGTCGTGTCCAACTCTTGGCGACCCCATGGACCGCAGCATGTCAGGCTTCCCTGTCCATCACCAACTCCCTGAGCCTACTCAGACTCATTGTCTTGAGATGGCAGAAGCAGTTCCTGTGTGTGTGTGTGTGTGTGTGTGTGTGTGAGAGAGAGAGAGAGACAGAGAAGCAATTCTGACAGATGGAAAGAAACAACACTATCCATAGTTCAGCTAGGGTTCCTCTGATTCAAGGTCAACAGTTTCCGTAAGACATGTATGCCTTCCTTGGTCAGAAACTGGAGGGGTCCCCTTATAAGGGGAATGAAAGCTCCAGGAGACAGCTTGGCTGAGGTTTAGGCAGGTTTAGGACTTTCTGGGTGATGGTGGAGAGGAAGTGGGTGGGGCAGCAGCTACCACCTGCAGCTTCCCTGGGGCTCTCTGCCACTGGCTGATCCTACCTGGTGGTCCCTGATATCCAAATGGCACTTGGGCTCAAGGCTGCCTGCTAGGAGCAAAACCTTAGTGGCGGCCCTCAGGGAAGAGCAGTGCCAAGTCCCCTCCTTAGTGGGATGTGGCCAACTCGACTGACTTCTGCTTTGGGAATGAGCCTTGCACGGGTACTGAACACAGCTGATGGAGCTCCGGGTGACCCAGGCACATCACCAACCCGTGTCTGTCTCCATTTCCTTCTCAGAGGCTGGAGACTGACGTGAAAACTGCTCTTGTCCACCTCACTGCAATATTGCGAATGTAAATAAGACGCTAGATGAGAGTTTTCTAAGAAGGTGCTTCATCCAAGGGCCAGTCATCTCAGTAAAAGTTGCAACCAAGACTCCATGGGTCCCCTTTTCACTGCTCAAGATCTTTGGCTTCACAGTGCTTTTTGTTCAAATTAGCTCAAAACAGGGTATTGGTTGAGAAGATACGCTTCCTTTGACTTTTACAAGTAATGTAGCTCTGAGTATAAATGTGTAACTACCCACCAGATTCCAAGTCTTTTTTTTTTTACTGAAGTATAGTTGATTTACCATATTATATTAGTTTCATGTATACAGCATAATGATTCAGTATTTTACAGATTATCCTCCATAAAAGTTATTACAAGATAATAGCTGTAATTCCCTGTGCTATACAATATAGCCTTGTTGCTTATCTATTTTATACATAGCAGTTTGTATCTCTTAATCCATACCCCTAATCTGCCCCTCCCTACAACCATCAGTTTGTTCCCTATATCTGTGAGTCTGTTTCTGAAGTCATTTTAAATGAAGTGTGATAAATTGTTCTACTGAAGAGGAGGAAAGCTTAGGAAGTGGAAATTGCAGCTGAAAAGATTTCTGCTAAATACAATTAAGAACTTCCTTAGATCAAGTGATATTGAAACAACATTCTTATTCCTGGGGAAAAAGCAAACTATGATGATGATACAATCAGAGATATCTCTTTTCTAGTAATAGTTTCCTATAGTACAATTTTTTTTTTTCCTAGGGTGGAATCTATTTTTTGAAAGTTTTTTTTTTTTTTTGTGGTATGTTATTATGTAAGCCCATCCAGAGGCTTAAGAGGATTTATTTTGGAAACTGAAATGACACAAAAATTCATCTGAAGGATAAGCATAAGAATATCCAGGAAAATTCAGAAGATGAGTGAAGACTAGGGATGTGGCCTGTCAGCCACTGAAACCTACAGTATAGCCACGGAAATTACCTGATAGCCTCATGGGCCCAGGAACAGGAAGACAGCAAGTGAACAGAAGACAGAGTCTAGGAACAGACCTAGCTACAAATGATAAGTGAGCTACTTCAAATCGGTGAGAAAGAAAGGGATCGTTCAATAAATGGTGCTGAGACATGGAACTCTACTCAATACCATGTGCCAGCCTGGATGGGAGGCGGACTAGGGGGAGAGTGCTATTTATTATGTATGGCTGAACTCCTTTGCCGTTCACCTGAAATTATCACACTGTTGTGAAATGGCTGTACCCCAATACAAAATTAATGAAGAAAAAGCAGTGCTGAGACCATTAGCTAGTCATCTGAGAAAAATGTAAAGCTGGATCCACACCCGGCTTCAAAATAGATTCCAAAAGGATCAAATATTTAAATGTGAAAAGGAAAACCTGAAAAGTGCTAGAAGAAATAGTTAAGCATTTTAATAATACTTCAGTGAAGAAGGCATTTCTAAGTATGACATGGAACTCAGAAACTGTAAAGTAAAATATCGATGAATTCTGAGGACACAAAAAATCAAATAGATTAAAATCACCTGTACTTGAAAGATAAACTGGAGAAAATATATGTGAAGGCAAGAAGTGACTAACCTGAATAGAAAAAGAGCTTTTACAATTTAATCCAAAAGAGATAAAGCATTTGTAAAGGGCAAAGCACATGAACAAGAAATTCATAAAAGAGGAGATACAAATGGCTCATTTACGCAAAGATGGTTCAACTCACGGGTGATAACTTTGGAAAAGCCTTCCTAAAAGCAGACATTCCATGCTGAAGACCTCAGGAGGGCGGAGGGGAGGCGGGAACCTAGCGCTTCTAGGAGTGTGGGTGCAGCTGTGTTGAAAATAGAAGGTTCAGTCAGTGTGAGACTTTGTGTCATTCTCCACCCCACCCCACCCTGGGGGGTTCCATGGGGCTCAGAGACAGAGGCACTGGCAGGGAGGGGTGAAGCATTTAAAGTCTTCCTCTGGAGGGGAGATTCCAGCCTGGCCTTCCATCAGGCCCCACGGGCACTGCCTTGCTCTAGAAGCCTCCCCCCTACCACCCATGCATCTCAAATTTGGAAACACAAAGGCTTTTTTCCCCCTCTTTTCTAACTCAAGAAAATAGTTTGAGGGAATTCCCTGGGGGCCCAGTGGTTAGGACTCTGTGCTTTCACTTTGGAGGGCGCCAGTTCAATCCCTGGTTGGGGAACTAATATCCTGAAAAAATAGAGAAAATATTTTGAAAGCCTGAGTAAAAACTGACTGAAGATGGCTGGTGTAGGGCTGATACTCTCAGGTGAACTGGGGGAAAAGGGGAGGGATAAAGAACAGTCTGAGCCCTGGAAAGTCAGAGATAGAGTTTTTAATTTGCACTCCCCTCTCCACCGCAGGCCATGCAAAGCTGGTGTCTCGGTGGACCAGGCCCCCGTCATAACCACACTGCCTCTCTCTCCATCCAGTGGGTAGTCTGGAAGCAGCCAGGAACTGCCTGGAAGCTCTGAGTCTGAGGAGTGAGGAGGTGAGGTTGCCTCCTATCAAGAGACCTTGGGGCATCTGATGCGACCAGTCCTAGCCTTGGTTTCTGTTCTGCAGGGGGATGAACCTGTCCGTCCCTACCCAACCCCCAAAGATATGGCCTACTTCTAATCTCTGGTCCCTACGACTGTGAGCTTACTTGGAAAAAGAGTCTTTACAAATGTGATTAAGTTAAGGATTTGGGGATGGGATCATCCAGGATTTAGGGTGGGCCCTGAACCCAGTGGCTGGAGTCGATAGAAGAGAAAGTCAAAGGGAGATCTGACACCTGGAGACACACAGGCGTGGAGATGGAAGCCACGCTGAGACGGAGGCAGTGACTGCAGGCAGGCAGCTACAAGCCCAAGACACCCGGCGTCCCCTGAAGTGGGGAGAGGCAAGGAAGGTTCGCCTTAGAGTCTCTGGAGGAACCATAGCCCTGCCTACACACAGGTGTTAGACTTCCGGCCCCCAGAACTGTGAAAGAGTAAGGTTCTATTTTTTTTTCTTGTTTTTAAAGATTGACATATTTATTCTTGGCTGTGCTTAGCGTTCACTGCTGAGCGTGGGCCTTCCGGGCTCGTGGTGAGCAGGGCTGCTCTTTGCCACTGTGCATGGGCGTCGCCTCACACTGGCTTCTCGGGGCACGTGCTCCAGGCATCCTGGCTCCAGCAGTTGTGGCGAGAAGGCTTAGTTGCTCCTGGGCATGCAGAATCTTCCCAGACCAGGCATGGAACCCCTGTCCCCTGCATTGGCAGGTGGATTCTTATCCACTAGACTGCCAGGGAAGCCCTATTTTTTCCTGTTTCTATTGTCTTCTTTTCTATCAATATTTTAAAAATTTTCTCTACTTAAAAAAATTAATTTTTATTGGACTAGGGTTGATTTACAATGTTGTGTTAGTTTCAGGTGTACGGCAAAGTGAGTCAGTTATGCATACACATATTCTTTTTCAGATTCTTTTGTCATACAGGTTATCCCAGAATGTGGGCTTTCCTGGTGGCTCAGATGGTAAAGAATCTGCCTGCAATGCAGAAGACCTGGATTCGATCCCTAGGCTGGGAAGATCTCTTGGAGAAAAGAACAGCAACCCACTCCAGTATTCTTGCCTGGAGAATCCCATGGAAAGAGGAGCCTGTGGGGCTCCAATCCATGGGGTCGCAGAGTCAGACACGCCTGAGCGACTAACATTTCATTTTCATTTATTCTTCAGAATGTGGAGTTCCCTATGCTATACAGTAGGTCCTTATTAGTTATTGATTTTGTATATAGTGCTGGGTATAAGCCAATCCCAATCTCCCAATTTATCCCTTCAGTAAACTCCTATTGTTATGGCAGCTCCAGGAAATGGACACCTGCACGTCCAGCCCCAGCAGATAGCTACCACACTCAGGCGTGCAAACCGTTGTGCGGGTGGGGAGGGGGTGACTCCTGTAAGCTCTGGGTCAGGGAGGCGGCACAGGTCCTGGGTGGACCTGCAGGCAGGCCTGTAAGAGCAGCTTGGCTTATAGTCTTTAGACACAAGGCCTGTGGGCCTTTATCTGTACTCTTGCTCCAGGCCTGCCACTTGGCTGAGGATGCTGGCTGCCAGGCAGCACGGAGAAGAGGACTTCTCTGTGCGATATCATCCAAGCCAAGAAAAAAGACTTACAGATAGGGACCGGCATCCTCCTTCCTGTGAGAAGGCCTAGCTAGGTCCTCCTCCAGTGCAGCCTACCCTTCTACAAGCTCTCCCTGCTTCCAAGAATTTTCAAACAGTGTTTTAGTGTCTCCCCTTAAATACAGGCAGACGGCCAAAGATGACAGGAGCGGGGTCTGCATCCATGAGGACAAGGACCCCAGGCTGTAGAAATGGAAACAAACAAAAATCTTAGAAGTGAAAAATTTGAGAACTGAAAATAAAAAATCTAATGGAAATCTTGAAGATAAATAATGAAACTGCTTCAGAAAGGAAAAAAAAAAAAAAAAACCCAAAGGAGGTAGAAAAGAAGAAAGAAAATATACGAAAATTAGAGAATCTGTCCAGGAAATCTCATATCCAAATAGAGAATTTCCAGAATAAGAGAGCAGAGATGGCTAAAGGCAAGAAATTTAAAAGAAATTATACAGGAAAATTCCCACGGCTTGAAAGCCACCTGTTTTCGAAGGAAAGGACTCACCAGGTGCCCAGTAGAGTAGAAGACAAAAGACCCACATCAAATTACATCAGTAGGAAGTCTGAACATTGTGGTTCAGAAGGAAGAACCTATGCAGAGAGAAGGCAGAGGCCAAATGCGAAGGATCCAAGCTCAGGAGTTATAGGAGAGATCCGCTGACATGCTCCAGCATGTTGAGAAGAGCCTGGCAAGCGAGTTTGAGGATAAGTCCCAGTCTGGCAGTGAGTTTGGGGATGAATGGGTGACTGGTGCACAGAAAGTGAAGGAACCAGAGCATGGAACTGAAAGGATGCAGAGTAGCTCAGGGTGTACACGTGGTGTCCGGCTGCGAGTGACGAGCATTCGCTCAGAGCCCCTGATACAGGCAGTGAATGAAGACTTAGCTAACGTGTGATGTAACTAACGTGAGAGGCTGGAAGAAAGCAAGTTACAGGCATGGGGTGGGGTGGACAGGTTGGTGGGAGAGAGTGTAGTTCTTATCCTCCATAGCAGGGACTCGATTCAGTAGCACTAGTTCCTAAAAATCAAGAAGTGTTATATGACTGCATTGTTGAAAATATGGAGCATAGACCAGAAAAAAATGACTGAAAAAGATGAAAATCATTGCCTCTGGGGAGTGGAAATCAGAAGTGGGGAAGGGTGAGTGGAGTGGAGCTACTGTTTTTGTGTTTTAAGTCTACAGAATTACCTGACTCTTTAAATTTTGGATGTATAAAACATTAATAATAGGAAGAATAATAAAAGCCCACCGACCGTATTATCCTGCCCCTGGCCACCATGGTTAATGTTCCTCCTGAAGTCCCATGTCCCTTTTCAGCCTCACCTCCCTCCATTGCCTCAGCACACCCTCTGCTCCAACCAAGCAGAACTGTTTGTCCCCCAGTGCTTTTCCTGCACCCCCAGCCTCTCTTCTGGGCTGCCCTGGGCCCACCTCCTCCAGGGAGCCCTGCAGGATAGGCCCCTCCATTGGAGGAAGTTGAGACACTGGACATCTTGAGGGACATGCAGTTTCCTTAGAGCTTCTTCATTTTGGACACTAACTCCCAGAAGCATACCTAGCTCTTTCCCTTATCTTTCTCCCCTCTTTAAGACAAGCCTTCTGAATTTCTACTAAGGTCACAGTGAGTGCCGGTCCCTTGCTCCTTTCCCCATGCTCACCACTCCCCAACAATTTTCTTCACCTCCAAAAAGCTGGTCCTGCTGTTCCCTCCATCTGGAATTCCTATCCTCCCTAGTAATCACAAGGTCAGCTCTCACCCACTCTCCAAGGCCAAGCTCAATGCCATGCCCCTCACTAGCCTTGCCCATCCCCGCTGTCTATTGCAATCCCTTGCTTCTTAGAAATCTTACAAAGCTTCACTTGAACCTGTTTTGGGGACAGGAATTTCTTCCTACTCTCTGAGTTCTTTTTTCACTGCTCTTCCAGAATGTGAACTCCCAGAGGAAAGGCCCTCCTCTAACTGCATGGTTACTCCCTCCCCTACCCCAGTCCCCAGTACCTGGTCGTGGCCTAAGAGCTGTCAGATGAATGAAAAATAAATGAATGATAGGGTTTGAAGCCACCACCAGGAGGAGGAAGAAAGAGGCAGCCCCGTGATTCTCAGAGCTCAAGCAGCAGCACCCCCTGGGAACTGGTTAGACTGCAGATGATTAGGGTCTACCCCATAAGTGAGGCTTGGAGACCCTGGGGGTAGAAACCTACATCTATGGCCAGAGCCCTCGAGGTGGCTCTGCCCCAGCCTCCTGAGTGAGAACCACAGAGTCGAGCCTGATGTACCCCCAGCATCCCTCAGCTGTCCGCCTCAAGACCCCAGCCTCACCGGGCCGTGGGGGCTTCTGCCAGCGAGCAGGGAGTGTGGAGGGCAGGGAGCGGGCAGGGCCGAGCAGGATAAGGTTCATCCGAGAAGAGACAGAGGTGGGGGAGAGGGAGAGGAAGGAGCGGGGGAGGACGGAGAGAGGGGAAAAGGAGGGGAGAGAGGGGAGGAAGGGGAGAGAGAGAGGAGAGACCGAGGGAAACGGAGAGGAACTCTGCCTCCCGGAGCGGGGAGGAGCGCGGACAAGCCACAGCATCTTCCAGAAGGTCGTTCGCCCCTCCATCCCCGGCGGGTGCACACCGGGTGCGCGGCGGGAGGGGGCCTTGGAGACCGCTGTGTGAAACGGGCAGCCCCTGCGCGGGCCTCCGGACCCCGACCCCGTGACCCCCGCCCGCGCCCGTACCTGCTCTTGCTGGGGGGGCCCCTCCAGGCCCGGGGCCGCCCCCGCGTCCATGCCTCCGGCGCTCACCGCCCGCTGCTGCTCCGGGTCTCCGCGTCCGCGGGCAGGGGCCTCCCCGCCGCCCGGCCCCGGGCCGTGCGGGTCGGATACCAGCGCGGGGACCTCCTGCGTAGGGGGGACGCTCATGCGGGTCCCCGTCGCTGCTGAGGAGGCCCACTGGGCCTCGGGACACTCTGCAGGGAAGCCATGCCGTCAGCCACTGCCGCCGGGAAGCCCGGCGCTTCCCCCACCGCGCACCCCGCGCCCCACCAGCCACGCGCGGGCTGCACCCAGCGGCTCCGCTGCCGGGAGACGAGGCGGAGGAGGTGGGAGTCTGAGAGTGAGACGCGGAAGTGAGAGGGGGGCCCTTGCTTTCTCTTCAGTTCTCTCCCTCAGCGAAGACAAGAGGTCAGGCGCCGGGCCCCACGCGGGGAGACCCAGCCTCTGCGGCGCCCAGTGCCGAGGCTCTCCCCGGCCTGGCCGATTCTCGCTCAGCTCTCTGCAGCCTCAGGCACGCGGACAGCTTCTGGGCAGAGTCCCATCGGCCCCTCCACAGCCTCTCCGGAGAAGAAGACGCCCCTGTGGGAGAACGTGCGCCCCCTTAGCCCCCGTGTTGCTGCAGGCCCGCCCCCCCCCCCCGGGAGGACCCCCCACTTGTCTTTGTCCCCTTCAGCTTCTCGGAGACCCTCTTTTCCGCTCAGCGTGAGGCTCGCAGCCTGGACTCAGCAGGGACAGCCGGAATACTTCCACAAGGCTTTAGGCACGCTTGGGTGTCCATTCAGGGCGAAGAGAGGACACCTGAGAGGTTAGTGTGGCTTACAAAACGGGACGTACTCGGTTCCAGCTGGTGATGGCTCCGGTTTTGTGCGATGGCACGTCCAAGGAGCTGCCAGGGACACTGCCCACAAGTTATGGGCCCGTTCTGGCCACTGTGGACCGACAGCCGGCCCGGGGAAGCGACAAGCATGCAGCACAGTTACCGCCAGAAGTGCGCCGGCGCTCCAGCCTGGGCGCCTCAGGGCCCCGGAGGGGCTGTTAAAACTCTGTGGCAGGGCTGGACCCCCTTTTCTGGTGGGTCTGGGCTGGGGCCTCAGAATCTCCCTTCTTCACAAGTTTCCTGTGGGGGCTGCCCACACCCGCAGGCTGCTTTGTAGTGTGGTCCCGGTGATGCGAAGGCCTGGAGGCTGGAGAAAACTTTGGGCGCTGGAGAATCTGAAATAAAAGTAACAGCTGAAATGGCTGTAAGGTGACTAGGCACCAGGCCCTCTTCTGAGGACTTGACTGCGTTAACTCATTCAGTCCTCACAACATCCCCTGAGGAAGGCGATGTTATCTCCAGATGGATCAAGTTGCCTGTAAATGGTGGTGAGAACATTTATACACAGGGAGGGGCAGGCCTTTGCTCAGCTTTCAAAGCTTGCAGGCAGTGCGGTGGGGGTTTGGACCCAGAGAAGACTGACTGACTCCGTGGCTGGGGCCCATAACCACTCAAGGAAGGTCCTGGGGAACCAGCCCAAATATGTAATTCATATTAAACAGTGTGAGCTGTAGCCCAAGGAGCATGGGAAACCATTTTAGAGTAGTAAGAATGTGACGTTTCTAGATCAGCCTTTTGGCTTCAAGGGTGGGGAAGGGAGCTTAACTAGGACCCAATGCAGGACAAACCAGGAACCTGTTGCTGCAGTTCTAGCTAAAGGTGGCAGGGGCCTTGGTGGCATATGGGAGTCTGTGCAGGGCCTGGGTGAGGAGAGACAGAGGCCCGTGGGTAGAGCTGAATGATTCCAGTTCAGTCACTCAGTCGTGTCCGACTCTTTCTGACCCCGTGAATCGCAGCACGCCAGGCCTCCCTGTCCATCACCAACTCTCGGAGTTCACTCAAACCCATGTCCATCAAGTCGCTGATGCCATCCAACCATCTCATCCTCTGTCATCCCCTTCTCCTGCCCCCAATCCCTCCTAGCATCAGGGTCTTTTCCAATGAGTCAACTCTTCTCATGAGGTGGCCAAAGTACTGGAGTTTCAGCTTCAGCACCAGTCCTTCCAGTGAACACCCAGGACTGATCTCCTTTAGGATGGACTGGTTGGATCTCCTTGCAGTCCAATGGACTCTCAAAAGTCTTCTCCAACACCACAGTTCAAAAGCATCAATTCTTGGGCACTCAGCTTTCTTTATAGTCCAACCCACATCCATACATGACCACTGGAAAAACCATAGCCTTGACCAGTCGGACCTTTGTTGGCAAAGTAATGTCTACTTTTTAATATGCTATCTAGATTGGTCGTAACTTTCCTTCCAAGGAATAAGTCTTTTAATTTCATGGCTGCAGTCACCATCTGCAGTGATTTTGGAGCCCCAAAAAGATAAAGTCTGACACTGTTTCCACTGTCTCCCCATCTATTTCCCATGAAGTGTTCAGACCAGATGCCATGATCTTAGTTTTCTGAATGTTAAGCTTTAAGCCAACTTTTTCACTCTCCTCTTTCACTTTCATCAAGAGGCTTTTTAGCTGTTCACTTTCTGCCATAAGGGTGGTACCATCTGCATATCTGAGGTTATTGATATTTCTCCCGGCAATCTTGATTCCAGCTTGTGCTTCTTCCAGCCCACCGTTTCTCATGATGTACTCTGCATAGAAGTTAAATAAGCAGGGTGACAATATACAGCCTTGACGTACTCCTTTTCCTATTTGGAACCAGTCTGTTGTTCCATGTCCAGTTCTAACTGTTGCTTCCTGATCTGCATAAAGGTTTCTCAAAGGGCAGGTCAGGTGGTCTGGTATTCCCATCTCTTTCTGAATGATTTAGGCAATCAGTTCTCTAGGGCTTAACTGATTTTCAAGGACGGTGCCCAGGCAAGTGGTTTGAGCAGCAGGGCACCTGGGGAGACAGGGCTGCCATCTCTGACAATGGAAATGTGGAAAGTGCAGCAGATTTGGGGGAACAAAGATGTGATCATTTGCACATGTTGTCTCTCTATCTGGCTCCTGGCCTCTCTTCAAGTGGCAAAGGCCACTTTTTCTCTCTAGCCCAGCAGGTCCTCAAATTCTAGATTCTTCTAAGTCTGCTCCCTTCCCACTTCCAAAAAAGAGCAGAATTTCCTGTCCCTATAGAATTCTGGCCCATTATCATAAGTCTTGGCTCTTTGCTGTGAGACTCTCTTCCCTGGTTGATTGACACCAGAAATACCCACCTATTTCACTGGTGACACAGGTAAGCACAAAGGCATTCATCTTCTTTCTGGCTTCAGCTCCACCATCAAAAAGTCTTGTTTCTCACCCTCTGGCAGGTAGTGGCAGATTTGTTGTGATTTATTCTGTCATTGGACCCTCCCTGGGGGCTCAGATGGTAAAGAATCTGCCTGCAATGCAAGAGGCCTGGGTTTGATCCCTGGGTGGGGAAGATGCCCTGGAGAAGGGAATGGCAGCTCACTCCAGTATTCTTGCCTGGAGAATCCCATGCACAGAGGCGCCTGGCGGGCTACAGTCCATGGGGTCGCAAAGAGTTGGACATGACTAAGTGAGTGACACTTTCACTCTTCTTCATTCTCCTGTCTTACTGGGTTCCCTCTATGGCCGAATTCCTGGTGGCCAGAACCAATCTCTTGTCGCTCAGCCAGTGAACACTCTGGAGTTGTTCACCTGATCAAATTATGTGATTTGCACCTTTGTTTCCCAGATCAAATGGTTGGCAGCTGACTCTGTCATCACTGAGGAAAAGAGGAATCTGTTGTTTAACTGTAGTCTCTCCAGCTTGTTAGCCCTAGTCTGCCATCTCCTGTCATCTTCTGGTCTAGAATGTGGAGGTGAGTGTAATGATGTAGAGGAAATGAGCTAATATCATAAAGGTGACTGGAAAACAAAGTGGAGTCAAGACTAGCTATACAAATATGGTATATGGTGTAGAAAGAGGCAAACAGAGCCATGGAACAGAGTAGAAAGACTCCAAGTGGCCACACACACTGGAATGATGAATCAGCAGGGAAAGGATGGACTAGTTACTCATTAGCTTATCCATCTGAGAAAAAGTGACCACATATCAAGACAAAGCAGATAGTTTAAAAGCAAAACTTTAAGATGATTTAAAAAATTATCTTTGTCATCTCAGTGTAAAGACTCAAAAAGAAAACCAAAAACACAAGACTCAAAAAGAACAAACCATAAAGGAAAAGATTCACAAATTAGCTTATACTAAAATGTAAAATTTCCATATGTGCATTTATCTAGCTGCTAAAGATTAGTGCACAGAATAAACAACACTGTTAGAAATAGATTTTAAAAAATATTTTAATAGAGAATGGTCAAAGGATGTAAACCAATTGGAAGAGATAAAGTTATGAGATACTTTTGTAATTTAAAGAAAACTATCGCATTTATGTATATGAGTTAAACTAGAGTGTATGGTTCACAGGAATGCCTTGTATAGGTTAAATTACCAAATGCAAAGTGGGTCCCTTCAGCTTTTTACCCAGTCTGTGTGTGTGTGGTCAGTTCTGTCTGTCTCTTTGTGAACCCATAGACTGTATCCCCCCAGGCTTCTCTGTCCGTGGGATTTTCCAGGCACGGATACTGGAGTGGGTCGTCCTTTCCTCCTCCAGGGGCTCTTCCTCACCCAGGGATGGAAACTGCCTCTCTTGGGTCTCCTGCATTGGCAGGAGGGCTGTCTATCATTGAGCCAGGGAAGTCCTCCACCCACACTGTGTGTGGGCATGCTCAGTCGTGTTGGACTCTTCCACCCCATAGACTGTAGCCCACCAGGCTCCTCTGCCCATAGGATTTTTCACTGGCCCCCTGTTCCTTTTCCCCTTCTCAGCTGAGACCAACCAAACTGCCTTAGGCTGATGGTGCCACCTGGTGGTATGGTCTTGCAAAAGACCTCTGCATTGCTTTATAAATGATCTTTTACAAGTCAGTCTCTGTTCCCTTGGTGCTCCTTTTCTCTTCCTCATACCCTCTCCATATGGATGGATAGAACCCACGCCTCACCCTTATTACTACAGCTAAGACGGGTGGCTCAGG